TTTGTTTGAAGTTAAAACAATGCAGAACGAAGGAGTAGAAACTCAGAAAATCGTATGGAAATGCTGAGAGGAAGGAGTGCAATGAATAGCCAAATCTGTTGAGCGATTTCAGTTTTGTGTCTTGTGTGTTGTGTGTTATGTGTGTCTTTCTTCAACAGTTGCTGCACATATACATAGCAGCCAGTGTTGAAGAAGAACAATCGTCCACCCTCCATGGTGGAGTAAGCGTTAGCTTATTTGTGGACCAAGCACATTCATGGTGGGAAGAGTATTAGGCGACTGCCTTGTGGTCAATACACGGATTGAAAAATATCCGTTACAAATACGGATAATCTTACGTTAATATTTACTATTAACAAATAAATTTGGTCCAAAAAATTAATAAATCAATCGATTATTTGACCAAATCCAAATCCGAAGCCGAAGCCGAAACCGTAGCCGTAGCCGTAGCCGAGCCGAGCGAGCGACGACGACGACGATGCGAGGCTTGCTTTCTTATTAACTCTTTAAGAGCTACAAGAAGAGCAATTATATATATACCCACCAAAAATCTCTTCCTCTTCCAATATGGGACAATGTCTCATTGTCAAGAGGGGGAAACTTAAAATTTTACTCAAAAATTTCATTTTCCCTCCATTTCCCATTCACCCTCATTTTAAGACTATTTCATCTTAAAAAAAAAAACCTCAACAATCCCCCACATGAATGGGGAATGGCTATATCGCGGAAGTATGCATGGAAAAACTGTGTGATTTACAAGCCAGGATTAATCGCATCTGGATAATTAGGTTTCCCTTTGAACTTTCCGTAGTAAACTTATGTCGGATATACTCGGTCAATCGGTAGATTTGATATCTTTGAACCGTCGATCTTTGGTGTATACCTAAACAACCATAAGTCACACAATCAACCCTTAACCATCTTTAGTTCTTATTGTTGTGTTCGTTTCAGCCATGAACACCGCATGGTTTCATAAGTGCGTAGAGAACTGGCCTTACAAAGTTCTCCTTGAAGCGGCTAACACTTCACACTTACATAGGTGATTCCTAAACGTGTCATCCTGTAGATACACTATTTGATATAGCCGAATCCGAATCCGAATCCGAATCCGAAGCCGAAGCCGAAGCCGAAGCCGAGCCGAGCGAGCGATGACGACGACGGCGCGAGGCTTTCTTTCTTGTTAACTCTTTAAGAGCTATAAGAAGAGCAATTCTATATATACCCACCAAAAATCTTTTCCTCTTCCAATATAGGACAATGTCTCATTGTCAAGAGGGGAAAACTTAAAATTTTACTCAAAAATTTCATTTTCCCTCCATTTCCCATTCACCCTCATTTTAAGACTATTTCATCTTAAAAACAAAACCTTAACAAATTCATTGGTTAATTTTGATAAGAACAAGATAATGAAGTTGGCTAAATATTATCCGAATGAGTTTAATAGTAACAAGCTCCGGGATCTTAGTTGCCAACTTGACAGTTTTATAGTTTATGCTCGTGCTTGTGACAAGAGGTTATTCAACATGAAGAGAATTAGTGACCTTTCTAAAGTGTTGGTTAAGCCAGATCCGCATCAAACTTGGCCGCTTGTATATGTGCTTATCAAGTTGACTCTCATTCTTCATGTTGCAACTGCTTGGGTGGAACGAGCTTTCTCATTCATGAACTACATAAAAAATGAGATTCGTAATAGCATCGGTGATGAATTTTTAAATAGTATTTTAGTTTGCTATATAGAGCGTAAGATATTCTCAAATGTGAATAATGATGTCACTATTCATTCACATTTGTGACTTGTGACTAGAAGTCCTTCTTGGTAATAATAATAATAATACTATTAGTAGTTCATTGTGACTTGTGACTAAAAATCTTTTTTGGTAATGATAATATTATTAGTAGTTTTCTCATAAACTCTTTTTACTCTTGCATTCGAATAGTTGTGCACTTGTATTATGCGATATACTAGTTGCTGCAAGTTCCCAAGAATCCTCTCCCCACATCCATGTTCTCCAGCATTGTTGGGTATCGTAGTCTTAATAATATCAATGCCTTTCATGTAAATGTTAAATGGCGATAGCTTCTTTATTAGCTTATTCTTTTTTCTCTAATTTAGTATTCAAAATTGTGAAGAAGAATATTTTGGGAAAGACTCATATTTTGCTTCTATACTTCATTTTCCTTATGCATCAGCAGTTTGAAAGATAATAGGAAAATGTAATTTTTCTGTTCCATTGGGACTAATTTAATTTTCATCCAGCTAATTAATATAAATAATTATTTATTGTTGAAAGAAAGAGTAGAAAATTGAATCTTTGGCCTAGCGATTAAGAAGATGGAGATCTAAGTGTTGATATTCTTTTAGCATAAATATGGATATCCTTTCCAACTTAATTGTACTAGAAGATTCAATAATTTAGTAATTATTGACGTAAATAGTACTTGATTCGCCATCTAAAGAATGTAGGTTTAAGGTTGAACCATTGAAGGCCACCAATGTATAAAATTTTAAATTGAATTCGAATATCAATTTCTTACTTTTAAAAACATATTTTTAAAAACTATACTTAAAGAAAAAGATAATATTTGACTTTTTTTGTCAGCAAAAACTATTTGAGTCAATAAAAATATATAATAATAATAATAGCAATTATATATTATTAGATATATTTTCTTAAAAATCCTCTGCCTTTAGCATTTAAAATTAGAAGGTGTAACCTTTGAGTGTCTTTATGGTTATATTGATTTTGCTGGCAAGAGTTGAGTTTTATTTTTGAGCTTTGTGCTTTTGTGTCTTGTGTTAAAAGTTTTGATGGGAGCTTGCTATGACATTCTGTCTGTTTTAGAGCTAACTTGTGCAGAGGAGAAGATGTTTTTTAAGTTATATATATTGCTATACCTTTAAATTCAAGAAAGTATGGTTGTATTGTATTGAGAGAGGAGTGAATTTGTAGAATAGGTTGAATGTAAGGGATGAGTCAAATAAGACTCACAGTGGCTTGTTTTCGGGGACATAGAATTGAGGGATTGAAATTAGCCTAGTGCTTCATCTATTGATCAAGTTGCTAACTTGCTATAGTCAAAAGCCAGGCACATGACCATTTTTTTAGTTGCTTGAGGATTGTAAAGTTAAGTGAGGCACATGACCGATTTTCTAGTTGCTTATGGATTTGTAAAGTTACGTGAGTTGAGTGCGGATGCACAAAATGTCTTCTTGACTTTGCAGAACTGAGCATAAGGTTTGGATCTTTGCTGGGGTTTTAAGGTTTCTAGTACTATAAAAATCAATCTAGTGCATGAGGAATTTTTTTGGAGCTAGTAATCCGGACTATTTCCCTCTCGACGATGAAGCTTATCCTCCATCATCTCACTTGAGGTCATATCTAGTATCCCCTGTTATTTTGAGGCCATATTTAGTATTCAGAATTTGCCTCGATTTGCTCGCAACCCCATCGAAATAGTGCTTTACCCCTAGATATCGACGACGGAACGAAGAACAAAACTTTACGATAGCTTTGCCGTAGACGTTCACTTGTATCACATCATCTTCAACCAACCTCCACACGAGATAGTTTCTTTAACTCTTGAAGTATGTTGTGCAGCTCCAATTGCTTAAACCCAGCTGAAACTATGAGGCTTATTGTCTCCATATGTTGCGGTGTCATTTTTGGCTTATTCATTGGAATTTCATTTCCTGCTGGTTCATTAACCAAGGTATGGATAACGTCTTCCTTTTTCATACAATCATATGGTGGTCTTATTCGATTCGTGCAGTTGTTGTAATTTCATATACGTCCAATTAAGTAACTTCTTTCGATTCCAATTTGGCAGCTAAATATTACAACCAGTATGTTTGTGAGCAACTTCCCAATTGCTAGAGACAGAAATAACATTGATTCTTCGATCAAAAATCAGAATGGTACAGATAAAGTGAAGGTATTTTCTTCTTTCTGCAGTTCTTCCAGAAATAACAATTTTATAGACATCAAATGTGAAGACACTTGTGCAAAATTGCCTTCTAAGAATACAAAAGGAACTTATTCTTGCTATTCTCCTTTAAAAGGAGTTTGTGTGCACATTGAGTGACATGGTTTTTCGATAGATCCCTGCTAGAGTTGAATATATGGTCTATCAACTCTATTATTTTCTGGATAACGGAGAAATCCCCGCCGGTAGCACACTGTTTGAAACATGGTGAAAAATGGGCCTACCCGTCTACCTTTCTCAACTTAATTCCAGACTTTGTTTGTGGCATGGTTCGAACCAATGCATGCACTTAACCCACACATCATGCATTGCTCTGTATCAGCTAGACCAAAGCCCGGGGGGTGGTCATCAACACTATTACTGAAGCTAAACATTCCAAATTCTAGCCTATCCTGCATAGCAACAGTTAACAATGCATCACAATCTTCCAAACTTCTTCCATTTTCAATGTAACTTCTTAAGTTGCACTCTTTGCATCATATTTAAGTTAAATATGCTCACTAAGTGCTGCCTAATCTATCTTCTTCATCTTTATCGTCTTTGCTTCATGTGTGTGAGTACTGTGTTTGATGTTTGAGATTATGCAAGTTAATATCCTAAGATAAAAATCACATTTATTTTGTCTGATGGTCATCCTTATGCTGACCAGATTTGGGTTGAATCAAACCCAAGAGGGGCAGAAAGATTACCTCCAGAGATCATTGCTTCTGAGTCCGACTACTATACCCGGAGATTGTGGGGAAAACCCAATGAGGTAAGTGTTCTGTTACAACTTCTGTATCATGTTTCCTCAACTCTATAGACCTATACTCTTATCATATTTATCTGCAGGACCTACCACCCAGCAAGCCAAAATATCTGGTAACATTTACTGTTGGTATTAATCAGAAGTATAATGTTGATGCTAATGTAAAAAAGGTATATCAGTCTGTTTCCTTTTATAGGTCCCTCCCTCCTCTCAGTTCCCAATTCCTCACTCATTTTTCCTGTGCAGTTCTCAGACGACTTTACAATTCTTCTTTTTCACTATGATGGTAAGACGACTGAATGGGATGAATTCGAGTGGTCAAAACGAGCCATCCATGTGAGTGCTCGGAAACAAACAAAATGGTAAGTAAACCATGTTAGTGACAAGAACTTTACCTGTGATCAACTTTAAACCATGTTAGTGACAAGAAGTTTACCTCTTTATAAGGTGGTATGCAAAAAGGTTTCTGCATCCAGACATTGTCGCCCCATATGACTATATTTTTATCTGGGATGAAGACCTAGGAGTTGAGCATTTTGATGCCAAGGAGTAAGTACTGTCTAATTTCCTGTGTTTAACGACACAATATCTTAGTTTTTCTAAATTCGCCTGTCCAACACCAGGTACATTAGACTTGTCAAGAAGCATGGTTTGGAAATTTCACAGCCAGGTTTAGATCCCAAGAAAGGAACAACATGGCAAATGACAAAGAGAAGAGGTGATGGTGAAATTCACATGTAAGAGCCAGGAATCCCATGATATCATTTATCTATCGAGTCCTGTTTCGCTCTCATCCTTTTAACTGTTTTGTACTTGTTGATCAGGATAGCAGAAGAGAAACCTGGTGTGTGTCCAGACTCCCATTTGCCTCCATGTTCAGCGTATGAATAGTTCTCCTGTTTGCTGTTTTGTTTCACTTCTTACTTTGTCCTTACCACATACTCTTCTCTGTTTTCAGATTCATAGAGATCATGGCTCCTGTCTTTTCCCGAGATGCATGGCGTTGTGTGTGGCATATGATTCAGGTATCTCAGCTTGCATATTAAACGCAGAGAAGGTCATACACTTTGTGCTATGTTGAGATTGACTGTGTTGTTTTGTGACTTGTAGAATGACTTGATCCATGGTTGGGGACTTGACTTTGCACTTCATAAATGTGTTGAGGTAAGTTCTGAATTCAGTCTTCTTAGCTACTTTCTTTCACGTGTATTCGTCTTTTTAGTACCAAAGTATCAAGGCACTAAGCATATCATATTCTGTTTTGAAGCCTGCTCATGAGAAAATTGGAGTTGTAGATGCTCAATGGATTGTTCATCAAAGTGTCCCTTCCCTTGGAAATCAGGTAACAAGATGAAGTGATTGTAACCAACCTAAGTTGCTTCAACAACACGACAGTTTAGGTGCCGCCACCCGTGTCGACACGACACTAGTATGGGTGTGGATATGGGATCCGTACCGGATCTGGTCAAACACTTTTGAGGAGTTTGACCACAACGTACGGAAAAATTCGAGACGATATACAATTTGATTCCCGAAATCATAACTAAAATTAGGGTAAATTTGAAGAAAATAACATATTTTATCCAGGAAATCAATCTTTTACTTATCTAACTTAGAATAAAAAAGAACTCAACACTTTACAAGCTACACGTAAGTATTCCACAAAATTTCTCTTAGTTTAGAGATATCTTTAGTTTTTTATATTTTTTGAATTATTTTTAGCCGGATCCCCGCCCGTATCCATAATAGGATCTGTATCTCGGAATTTTAGAATTTACATTTCGAAGGATCCGATCTCTAGATCCGCACCCGTGTCCGAGCAACTTAGTAACCAATTATATTATACATGTAATATGCTAGTTAGTGTAACTTGATATTGGAAACATAAAGCCATCTTTAGTTTATGCCAAATGGAGTAGATTTATTTGGGTATATAGCATAATTATTATTGGCTTTTACACAAAAGTGACCACTTTTTTTCCTTTCCTCATTCATTTCTATACAGGGGCAATCAAAAGATGGGAAGGCTGCATGGAAAGGGGTAAGTACCTCTCTATGTTACATTTGAACACTTGGGCATATAATCTTTCTATTGACTGTTCATTTATTCCTTTGGAATGTCTCTTTAGCTACTTGTTTTTCATTATTTTCCACTTTAAAACTTGAAGCAGGTGAATTGCTGTGTGATTAATTGAACTTGTGTGTTGTTGTGGCAGGTGAGGGAGAGATGTGAAAATGAATGGGCAATGTTTCAATCAAGGGTAGCAAATGCAGAGAAAGCCTATTTCAAGTCAAAAGGAATTGATCCTTCCAATTTCAAGTCAAAAACCATTGATCCTTCTAATTTCACATCTCATTGAGTTAACTTATAGTCAAGTTGATGGTTATACATACTCTTGGCAATTTTGCCTAGGATTATAGGTGATTCATCTTGTAAAATAAATAGTCAATAGTTCTTAAGATACATCAAAATTTTAAAGTGAAGAATATTATAGAGACTCTTTAATAGAATCGCATACATGATTGCAATGTACTTATAATAAATTAAGTTTGAAAAAACATTGGTCATCCATTATGGTTATATTAAAGCCACTTTAAGTTTAAATAATTCTCTACAAGCATATTACAAAGGAGGTTGGTTTAAAGAGGATAAAGCCGATAAAATGGGATTAAAGTCAACGCCCCATTTTATATAAGCAATCAAAGTAATTTTTGATGATTTATTTCTAATCTCCATCCAAATTTGGGAGGTCTAAAACAACTTTGACATCCTCAACTCCTATCTCACATTCATGGCGTAACTTTTTAATTAAGTATTCTTTTACTAGATAATGCATTTGATGTGGATAGTGGCAAATGTAGAACTTAAAATCATTATTTTTTACTTAAAATTATATTTATGTTAGTCGATCGATGCGTCATTAAATATATTCAGTCATGTGAATCCTCCTCAATGCGTGTGTGTATATAGTAGATATATACTTTTATTGTTGATTTTGTTTTTTCATATAATATGTTTATATTAAATTTGCAATACAAAGAATAATAGATGTATTGATGTGTAGTAACTTAAAATTCCGAATCTGCTTAGGACAAAGGACAAGAACATACAAAAACTTCCTGATTAATCCTTTGTGGATACCGAGGTGGACAAACATAAAAGAGCATGTATTTTTTGATTCATCTGGAGATACAAATCTGCCAAATGACTAACTTTTTTCCCGCTGAAACTGAGCAATTGTGGAAGCTATAGGTGTATCTCCATTTTGTTTCCATCCAAAATGCTTTTTCCATTGTTTTTTTTCGTGTTTCGTGTTCATTAGGTTAGAATTAGATTAAGGTATGAACTCACAAACTTTCATGCCCCAAGAGAGCCAACAGCAATCACGTCTATTTCCATCTTCATTTCCCTTCTTTTTTTTTTTGGGGGGGTGGGGGAGTTTGTCAAAAAGTATGAAAAATATTTAAGGAAATAAAAAATCTTGGGAAAAGCCAATTTCGGACTTCCCTCCTTAGCAAAGGTTATATGTTCAAGATTCTTACGCCGGGGATAGACATGCGTGACTGGACATTTTGTTGTATACTTGTATAGAAATTAGTTGAAACTATACAAATCAAGATTTGATTGCTTTTAATCTTAGTTGCCACAAGCTCTGCCATATTTCCAGAAAAGTTCATGAAGTCGTCAAAATGTGTTTGCCCCGTAGGCTGGCCGAATCTAGCCCACTAGTTGAATGTGGTTGGACCAATATTTCTTTAACTCTTAAGACTTGAGCTTTTTAGCTCAGCCTAAGTCAGCTTCTAGCCTCATGGGATTAGCTTAGGCTGCCCCAAGCGACAGAGACAAAATTTTCACGAAAGAGTTTAAAATATTAAAAAGAATACGCGAAGATTATAGGATGATAAACGGGTAGGGTGACTAAGGGAAAGACTAACCTTAACTCGTTTAAATTATATCTCGCTTTGTCATGTCTCGTATAATATTTCTTCCTACTTTTGCCCTATCCAATCGAGCCCTTTTCTAAAAATTTTTGCGTTTTTTTTTTTCTCACTTTGTAGTGTTCTATTTAATTTTATATATATATATATATATTTTTTCAAATTAGTGCCCCGTCAATATATATTATCTTTGAAGATGGCCAACTGTGGGATACAAAGGGATTTTAAATATTGATGGAATTCATACCATCATTTGGGATGTCCAAAGCACTTTGTTGAATCGGAGGGCGCCTTGTATTTAGAATAAGTTTGTGTGCTTCAGGTTCTTTGATAATGTCATGTGAATTTAGTGCACCGATTTTTGCAACAGTTAAGCATAGAAGAAAGAAAAGCAACTACTTGGGCTTACATTTACTAATACTGGGATAGAAATATGGAAAAATTGGAATTTAATAGCTTTTTATCCTATGGATTAAAAGTTGTGGGGAACGAATGAAAAATACTGCATCGAGGAATTGTACTAGCAACGTTTGAGAAATATAAACCCCTTGACCACTGAGCTAAGGTTCTGAGCTATGTCAATATAATTCAATTTATAAAATATAAATATAAAAATCAAAGTTTGTCTTATATATACAATATAATTTTTCGATAAAGGGTTCTGAAGGAGAAAATAGCGTGGCGGGTCCAAAATTATACCATGGATCTCTACCTTCCCGGAGGAGCTTTGCTCTTAAATATTTATGCTGCCAAAGGAAATACCATGTGCACGCAAATACCCAGATAAATTTCTAGAGTTGAGCTCGTCAAAGTCCTTCATGACTCCTAGATTATAAATTATAAAAAGTTAAGAGAACCAAAGGAATCTCTACAGTCTGGTGAGCCAACTTTTACCAAAAAAAATAATAATAAAACCGTTTTCACAAGTTTTGACCATTCCTATCTGAATAAACCCATTAAAGTCATCTTTTCATGCCAAATGTTTCAATCAAAAAATAGAGACCCAGAAGAAAACCCCTTCTGGAATATATAAACTATCATGGCAAAACATGATTGGATCAAGAATTTCAATAAATAAGGAAAAGGAGTTTGGTGGTTCAAATGCCCCCTTACAGCATACTGTCCATAAGATCTGATACCACATTATAAGAATGAAGTAAGAAACTACCAACGAAGCAAACTTAATTATAGACACGAAAGTTTCTCTACAAAAGGGGTGGCGTCACAACCCGTTAGGGATGACTTGCCAAGATGGATTCACAACCCGATAAGGATGGCTTGCCAAATAGGGGCTAGCTTCGACAATCTGTTAGGGATGGCTTGCCAAGCTACACAAACAGTAAATTTGTTTATAGTCGCAAAAGTTTTCCTATAAAGGAGCTGGCTTCACGACCCTTCTAACAAATTTGTCCATTCTGCTATATATTCACAGCACAAGCAAAGGATTTTTCCCAAGAACTTTTATTCTTTTTCTGGTACTTATGCCATCAGTATTATATTTTCATGGAATTCAAGTGCAACGAGTTCAAGGATTTTGACAACATTGAACATACTCTTAAATTATTTCTATTATGGTTCAAGGCTAGATGATATTGGATAAAATGTTTCAATGATTCATACAAAGGATTTCAACGATCCATCCTCCTTGGACAAAATGTATTCCGAGAAAATCAATATCCTTTTAGGCAAGAATCATCTTTTTGCCGAAAGCATAATACCATACTGTAGTACCAATGCCTCAAATTGATGTAGCAAATTGATATGTTCCTCCAGTGTACCACTAAATAATAGGATATCATCAATGTAAACCAAAGAGGTATGGAGGATGGCTGAAATACTTTTATCATGGCCTTTTGGAATAAGGAAGGTGCAGTTTTTAATCCAAAGGGCATGGCTTTCCATTGAAAAATGATGATTGGGGATACAAAATCACATTTTGGCTAAGTGGGTGAAAATGGTGAGTTTATTTGGGACATGAAATTTATCATCTTCGAGGAAATGATTAAGAGGTTCATAGTTAATAACTAACCTGAGCTTTCCTCTTATTTTCTCAGCTCTTTTGTTAACATAAAATGCTTCATATGCCCATTGTGAATTTGATGGTTCTATCAAATCAAATTCCAAGAATTCTTCGCATTCCTTTTTTGCAAGCTGAAGATGATCTGGGTTCATTCCTGAATGACCGGCTTTTGTTTGATTGATTTTTTCATTCTTCTTGAAAATGAGCTTGATAAAGAACTCTTCGTTCTTCCATAGCGGGCTATTGCCTTTCTTCATAAAACCTTGTGGGATTCCGCACATGAATGCTCAATGAGATGTTGTTCAATCCCCTTGATTTGGTCGTTGTTCGTGATTTGGAATAGCCTTGGAATATTAGAATAAGGTTAGAACTGATTCTTAAATGTTATCCCGTTAGCGCTGATCTGGAGTTGATCTTTTAGTTGTCTGAAAATGTCGAACCCAATGATAAGGTCTTTTCCTGGTAGATCAGACCCTATTAGCTTGGTTTTGTATTTCAATCCTAGGAAAAACTCAATTGTAATCGGGTGCTTTGTGATGACAGTGGTAGTCAGGATCCCATTTGATGCAGTATTGAAATCCTTTAAGTGCGATACCCATTGATCTTCAGGGAGAACAACTGGATTCATGAGTAAACAAACCGCTCCAGTGTCAATAAAAGCAATGATGTGAGTTGGTCTATCCCATTTAGATGAATAAACTTTGAGTTCCACCTGAGAAATGACTATGATAGCGTTGATATCCTCTAGGGATTTGGCTACTGGTTCTATAATTTTGTAGTGGTCATCACCGTAATCTTTGTATATATCAAGAGAGAAAAATGTTTCTTCAGTGGGTTTATCATCCATAGAGAATATGGATTCTAGGTCCTCTTCTTCTCCGAGATGTATACTAGTATAATCTTCAATTTCTGCAAGAAGTTTGATAGAACTCCGCAATTGGGGATAATTTCTTGCAAAATGTCCAATCTTCTGGCAAATATAGCATCGGTTTTTTTTTTTGTGAAAATTTCCTGGCCTCCTTCGTCTGAATTATTTTGTGCGTCTCCTGGACCTTGTTCTCCCATCTGGAATTCTTGGTCATTTGAACCTCTTGAATCTTTTCCGTCACCTACGTATGTGGCAGAACATCCTGATTCGGTGATCAGATCGAATCTGCGACATAGTTTGTCAAGCTCCGGATTATGTTGGATAATTTATTTTAGGGCAGAGCGCTTTCTACAAATATCCTCCAATGCAATGAAAATTTTTTCAATGATGTAGCTGATTCGTGGGGCTAGTATTGACTGAAAACTTTCTTCAATGACGGTCATGGTTCAGCCTATTAATAATTTGGGGAGAGAGGAGAAAAAGGCTTACTTCAGGTTGATGTCTCCACCTATATCAAAGTATATCTTTGCCATTTTTTGAAAATGTTTGTCAATGTCATTTCTCTCAAATGACACACACTTCATCTCGATGCGTTGTCTTCGTATCGTTTATTATCTTTGGCCAGAATCTCAGCAGAAAATTTCATGTAGGATTCTGATCTTGAAGGCAAAATA